ATAGTTTAAATGATTGCTATTAAAAAAGGCTTCATTGCCTTGATGTGTAAATATTTGTGATATAACTGCAGTTGTTCCATTTTGGCCTGTCATACGTTTGAAAGAGCTGTCTGAAGGAACTGCAATTATGAAAGTTGCTTCTGATTTCCCATCTCGCCACTAGAGAGCATACTCTGCCCACGAGTTTCCCAGGAAGAGCAATGCTGCAGTTGCTGTCTGCAGCATTGCTGTGTAACAGCTTTACCTTACAGGCCCAGATGGTAGCTAGATCACGGGAAAACTCCTCACTCCCAATTGAGCAATGTGACAGATCAGCAGTTACGAATTTAATGTTTATTATTATATATTATATTTGATTAATAAGTGCATTTGTTTCTACCGATCAATCTGACATGCAGCCTGAGATTCCTTGTTGCTGGTGATCTCTGGTCTGGAAAGCAGGACAGCTCTAAGACAGTCTCCTGTACTGGAACTGAGCCTTGCAGGACTGCCCTTCTTGGGGCAGTTTGAGTTCACAGGGCAGCTCTTTCTCCTGGTGCCCGTTCTGAGCTCAGTTCAGCTTCGGCTGTGAAGCTGGCTTGATCTATGTGAAAGGAAGGGCGTCTTGGATATTTTTTGATGGGCGCGCTCCACCTATAGATGAAGATCTTCCTTTCTTAGTCAACTCAGCTTCTTTTCCTAAAATCCCCGCGCCCCGGACACAATACGTTCTCCCCAGGACAGAAACGCACTGGAGGAGGGAGAAAGTGGCTCAGCAGCTCTGGCGGTGCGTGTCGCCCATGGGAGTTCATCCGGCCTGCCAGCTTTCACAGTGTATTCACATGAGCACTGGTACTGCGACGAGAACACCTCCACGAATGAATGACGGATTAGGAGAGTAATAACTTGACTTTACTGATGACCCAGCAGTCAGCCCTCACTAACAGAAACGTGAAGGGTAATTTTGCTCAGGGGGTGGTTGTACAAGGTCTTGTTTTCTTACATTTCAGGCAGAGAACTCCGCCCTGGCCCTTGCGAATGAGAGTCAGAGGGAGGCTTACGAGAGGTGTCTGGACGAGGTGAGCTCTGTTACACCCAATTCATTTGGCCGTTTGACTCATCTAACCTGTCCGGTAGTAAGCAGTTAATTGATTCAGGATCTCATCCTGCTGTTTCTTGAATGCCACCAGGGTAATGTCGGAATGGATTATGGAGATGGAAGGTGTGCAGGAATTAAAAAGTGGCCCTGATGTAAATTGAGACCTTTCGGACAGCACTCTGGGCTTGTCTAACAGCCAGCTGAGTCTGGAGTAGTTGTGTTTTTGGGTCGTTTCACAGACTGTTTACTCGTCGGCGCTAAACGTGAGGGCAGACACTGCTCTGCTGCAGTTCCTGCGTGGAAACTGAAAGTAGTATTGGTGTGAAAGTGAAAACCTATAAAGAAGAAAACAGTAGAACTTTGAGAAGCAGAAAGCGAAATGACAGGAAGTCAGGAAAACTAGGAAACTACTGCTCTCGGGCTTTTTTACTGAGTGCATTTCCGTGACTATAAATATATTGTCAGAAAACTCTGCAATACAAACTTGCGCCTAGAGTTTGTAGTTCTATTATTTTCAGCATTCACACCCATTAACAGTTGTGGAAACATCTGATTTGTCTCAGAGTGAAGACTTCAGGCTCAATAAAACACCTTCAGGAGAAGACAGTGCTATTTCATACTGAAGCGGATTGCTGCCATCAAAGACACCAACATATTTAATCTTGTAATGACGAGAAAATTATGTTGTTATTATGAGATATTATGGTGATATTGCATAGTTTATGTGATAATCATGCAATAGCACAAATGTCATACAATAGCCGCACTATCAGTTTTCAGTTTTAAGCAGTGGAATCGGTCCCAAGGTAAACTCTCTTGTTTTAGTATAAGTGTGAGTGTCTCCATGGTTATACTAATTGTGTTCACATTAGGTATATATTGTAGCATTTAATTACAGTTAAACCCCAGTCGAAAGTAAGTCTGTGCACATTCTGCATTGCTGGACACTGTCGTGAACACTAAACCTAGAGTTCCAGCTGAGCTATCGGTAACTCCTACAGTAGGTGCTGTCATTGCACAATGCAGTGGGTTGTTCATACACTGATCATTGGTATCTCAGAATTGAAACACATGAAATATTGTTTTAGTTGATGGCACAGCAACACACTTCTTTAATTTTGAATTGTAATGCTTTTATCAGCAATTTCCTTTTTCAGTTAAAGAGGTGATTGAGCCTTTATATGTCTGTTTGGTTTGGGCTATTAACTCATCAGCCTGAAGCCTTTCATTGGAATATCCATCCTCACTCAGTCTGTTCATTCAGGTAATGCCTCAAGGCGCTTTAAAGAAAGGCAGGAGCAGATAACACCTACAGTATAGAAATGGCAACTGTATTCGTTTAAGAATGGAAGGTTTGATTCATGCTTAAAATTACATCTGTATGAGATCTGGATATCATTAATATATGTGTAAGTCATTAAACAGTATCTTTCAGAGAAGTAGGTGTCCTTGTCAAGGTGCAATTTTGTGCAGATGTAGTATTATATGTAACTGTATTGACCTCTCTTGGCCCGTCTCAATCTCGGACGTGTGTCTGTCTGCTAACACTGCTCTGTTGTGTTGTGTGTAGGTGGCCAACCATGTTGTCCAGGCTCTGCTTAACCAAAAGGTAGGACTTCTCAAGCATGTTTTCTTTCCTTGTTTGCTTCCTTGGCTTGTGCTTCACCTCTTGTTTTCCATTTCTGCATGGACTGATTTGGGATTTCTCAGCTGTGAATCAGCTCAGCTCACGAGCTCCACTTTGAGTGGCTCTGCTGAGGAAGAGATGCTCAATCATGGTCTAAGAGCTGGGCGGAAGTGTTGACCGCTCATGATGAGTCCAGCCTTGAGTTTCAAAGCCCTGGAGATACTAGACAAGGGAAAGGCTGGGCAGGGTAATGATACGAGCGGGAGGGAAAGAAGAGGTTCTGCTGATTTGCCCAGCCAGGGAAGCACAGACTGGGGCTCCAGAGCATAACAATGTGAATCCGATCCAAGATGAGCGTGATGCCTCCTTGGTTTGCAGGACCTGCGAGAGGAGTGCATCAAGCTGAAGATGAGGGTCTTTGACCTGGAGCGACAGAACAGGACCCTCAGCGAGCTGTTCCATCAGAAGCTGCACACCACTGCTGGATCGCTTCAGCAGGTAGGTCTGGGGAAGCCATTCACCCCCTTGTTCACTAGGCCTTGTAGTTACTGAGAAGAGGATCTCATCCAGCTGTTTTGCAAAGGAAGCGATAAAACTAGGTTTGATAACCCAGGGCTGGATTTTGGTGTTCACAGGCCCTAGGCACTTTTACTCCAAAATGTGCAAAAAGAGGGGGTAAACGCCATTTAAAGTACGTCGATTGACATGATGCACTTTAAACTATTCCAATGCTAAACCACGTGATTGATGAGCAAGTTAAGCGACCATCACTTCGATACGTCTAGTTTCTAGATAGCGTCCGATTATTGATTTGGAGCACCTAGAGTCGATCGCAAGCATGTTGTTTCAGCTCGTTTTTCGTTAGTCACTTGTGTTTCCCTCCTTCGTAAGCCCTAAAAATTTTGTAGGCCCTAAGTACTGTGCCTACAGTGCCTAATGAGAAATCCGGCACTGTGGAGACCTGCTGGACAGTTTGATCCAGGCATCTTCCTACATGTATAAAATTGCTTCCTGTGCTTGGACTTAAATGCATTACTTTTGATTTCCACTTGTGCCCTTGAATTCTCTATCGCCTCGTAAAGTGACAGCCCCTGTCTGAATGAGGCTTCTCCAACCCACCCAGCCTTTGAGCCATTTATCCAATGACGGGCTTCAAGCTCCATAGTAACGCCTACAGGATCAGGGCTGACTGGAGGAGAGGCACTGCAGCCCTGATCACAAAGGCCCTCCTTGCTCCCCAAAACACAGAGCTGGCTGCCACTGGTCAAGGCCCCTTTCTGTTGCCCTTTCTATGGGTTACCTGCACGGTCCAGACAAGGACGATTCTCAGCTACCGTGAACTCTTAAATCCCTTTCGCAGACTGCATCTTCAAGTTTCTCAGCCCATCTAGTATTATTCTTGCCCATTTTTGTAGGCAGTCAGAACGGGAGTTGGGGTTTTGCCTTTGGAAAAATATCTGAAGGGAACAGGCTCCCAGAATAGTGCTATGACCCTTTTGTATAGTGCCCTTTTGTGATATTCTTCTCAAACTGCAAAAGTATCGCCAATAATTACATCTAAAAGGGATAATAACTACAAAAACCATGTTCTGTTTTGAACAACAAGCCTGTTACTCGTGATTAATGTAGCGTTTCACGCAATGTCCTGCCCTTGGACACATGGAAGTGTGTTTAACAAGAATTGGTGAAGAATTCATCAACTGTTACCTTGTTCTTTACTATATGTTACTGTGCTGATGACATGGTAAATCACAGTAAACCATTTTAAAGGAAGAAGGAAAAGCTGCCTAACGAAGCAGAATATTTAACCGTTTTGTCCACTGGTAGGCAGTACTGATGCGTGAAAACAGGAGTTGCAGTTATAGAAAATAGGAATGATCTGTAGCTATATTTAACAGTTAAGCTCCATTATTTTCAGACACGGATTACTCCAGCAAGGAAGGTATTGTATGGCACAGCTTCACAACACCAGCTGGGGCAAGCAAGTTCTTCAAATGTTCACCGATTTATAAATTTAGGAATTGGAAACCCCAGTCTGACAGGATTATCTGAAGGCTTGTGAAAATGAGTTTGTGATTCAGAAAGGCTCCTTATATTGACCTGAACTTTATGAGCTTGTCACTATGAAGTCTATATGCAGAGCGTGTTGCGGAGCTAGTCTGGGCATGGTGACGTCATCGCCCTCCCTGCGCGTAGCAGGGACCTCAGCTGCCTGGGCTGAGGGAGGTCTCCTTTAGCTCACTCGGCTGGTTCCCTGTTGTATTATGCCGGAGACCCAGGTTCATGCCCAGGTGTTGCGGGATGAACTGGCGGGGTGGAGCTGGCGAGGGCCCAAGCCTGCGCGGAACCGCCACGGTCACAGGTGCAGCTACAGCACTAACAGGAAACAATTTACTTATATGTTAATTGGAGCAGCAGAGCCCAACTCTAGAGTAGCTCAGGTGGTCCACGGTGCTGGCTTTTCTTGGATGGGCCCTTGGTGTGTTAGCACTGCGCTGTTTTGAACTGTCACAGGCACACTAGAATGGCAGTTCAGGTTAGAATAGAGTCAGGGGTTTTTCACATTGCGCTGTTGACTTTTTCTGACGGAGGGTTTTTCAAGCTAGGAGCACTCTGTGTGCGGGCGGCTCTTTGTCAGGGCTATTAGTATTCCAAAAGCTTTTACGGAGAAAAAGGAGGGGATGGCAATCTCGTTAAGAAATCTGAATATTGCGTTTAATAGGAAATCAATTCAACCATAATTGCTGAAAAAGAATATCTGCACATTCCATTACTGGAATTATTGAATGAAAATAGAATTCTCTCCACCCGCCCACCTCCCCCACAACTCTCTTAGTCCGTCTGATGTGTGTGCATTATACACTGGCGCTTTCTGCTCAGGCTGTACCTGAGAGAAACTCCCTATCTGATACTGAGTCAGGGCACCATTTCCCCACAGTCCTCTCTCCATGTGGCAAGTATAATAGGCCACAGGAAATCGGATGTTATCTGCCTCCAATTCAATTTAATTACCTGATGCCGAGACCAGAATAATAGAAACTGACTTGCCAATATAATATGATTTTCAGAGGCATTGGGAAGTGATTTAAGAAAGCAAAATGTGCATTTTTTAAGAGTTCTTTGAGTCCCTGATTGTGTGTGTGTGTGTGTGTGTGTGTGTGTGTTTTGTAGGTGTGTGTAGGTTAGAAATCACGTGTGGAAAACTCTCCTGACCCCTGAGCAAAGCTTCTCAGACTTATTCCATCCTCCAACGTCCCAGTGACACAAAGGCTTTGTTCTCTCGATTAGCCGCTCGTGCCCTTTTCTTTGTTTTTCACCAGGCTTGACATTCAACACGCACAATCACCTCCTGAACTTTGCTCGTACAGGCTTCTCACTAATGAGGCATCTTAGGGTTTGTACCACAGACAAAGCCCCTTGAGTATTTCACAGTGAGTCCTGAACGAAGCCCAAAACATCGAATCATTATCCAGAATCTGTAGGCTGTATTTTCCCCCAACTCATACCTTCAGAAAAGGTGAGAATTAAGGAGTCTTATTGTTCAGTAGGAACAAATGCACTGAAGTCCCAGCGTGACGTGGCGGACGTGAAAGAGGTACTCCTGAGTAAAGGCATTTGTCCAGAGTGCAGGTTGAGCTCTGGACATTTTCAATCGAGTGGGGAAAAAAATAAATAAGAGAAACCCTTGATTTCTGCGTCTCTCCTCTCAGCTGCCGTCGGAGCCAGCGTTGAGCCCAGAGCCCCCCCCCTTGGATTCAGATAGGCCAGTGGAGACCCCCGCCCAAGCACAGACTAAGGTGAGATTTGGCACAATCTGTCCAAGGCCTTGCTTGCATCCGATCGATGTGGTCCTGTCATGGTAAAAACACCAATATTAGTGCTCACGGGTAAGTGGGGAAAACTCTCTGGGAGAAAAAGATTTAGCCCTGTGCACTCTGGCATCACAAATCAGTCAGTCCTTAAGAATTCTCCTTCAACAGATGTACAGTAAGCCTCCTAAATCCCGTCTATGCTTTAAAATACAGTTACTGGAGTGGATGCTGAAGGTCATTCCAAAAACAAGAGGCAAAAGATGAAACCTAAACTTCTTTCAGGGAGTTGGTTAAAGAAAACCCTCTGATTTTCCAGGTTCCTTGATGTTATTGGGCAAGATGACCTTTTCTCAGGAAAAAGGTCAGACACTGTTGTCAGGTTTAGCATGGGATGCAGTTCTGCTCAATTAGCTGCAGATGGCTTTCAACCTTACCTGGTTTTATGGTGCTCTGGTTGTCTTCTTGATCTCACAGACATCAAAGCTTTTTGTCCAGCACAAGCTTGTTATCGAATAAATTGGAAAACGCCGTCCAAGTGCTGACTGTGTGGGACTGGCTTGGTGTAAGACCAGAGAAATACTGAGCAGGCACGCAGCTTGCTAAGATGAGGCAGTGCCGGTTTTCCTTAAAAACCCCCTACCCTTAAAATCAAAGATATGACCTCCATTGTGATCAACGCCTGCCGAATGTAGAATTATCATTCTGTCCCCGTGCCTGGTGATGGCTTCTTGTGGTGGCTGTATCAGAGGTGTCAAATTGAATATAGATTTTATCTCAATCCTATTTCTTCATCTCTTTCGCTGTAATACCGTGCTGTAAGCAGGTGAGATCCTGCCACCCTGCCAGCAAGAGGCCCCCCCCCCCCCCAAGTCTCCTCGTCACCTTCCTTCTCCGATTACTATTGATCTGTTGTTCTTTATCCCCGGTGGGAATATAAAGAACCGGCGAGAGCTGTTCCATTTCATTCGCTCATCACGGAATATTAAAACGCACAGCAGGCAAACACAATCACACGAGAAATAAGGATTAGGGTCTTAAGTGGGGTGTCTGCACTCTGCTGTCCTGCGTGAGTCGAGGGCAGAAGAGGTGTACAGCTTGGGGCTTGGGGTGAGGTATCTCCCTCAGCCTGCCGTCTGTGGGGTGAGGTAACACCCTCAGCTCGGCGCCTGTGGGGTGAGGTAACACCCTCAGCCTGCCACCTGTGGGGTGAGGTAACACCCTCAGCTCGGCGCCTATGGGGTGAGGTAACACCCTCAGCCCGGCGCCTGTGGGGTGAGGTAACACTCACCCAAGCAATGTATATATTCTGTACATTCAGTGGCTTTTGAAAAGGGTCACAGAGTGGTACTGGCACATTTGTGATGTGTTTCCTAAATATTTCAGTGTGGCAGCACTTATTTGAATTTGCAGTGTATTTCATTATAAGTGGCTCTCTATTGACTCATCAGTCTTATTTTAATAGTCCACTAAGGATTGCACTAAAGAGACCCATGACTGCTTTCATTTAATAGTTTGACTGTTTCAGGGGAAAAAAGTCTATTACCGCATTAATTGCTTCTTTAATTAAAGATAACCAGTCCCACAGCGTTGGCCAGTCATGAGAAACGGAAGCTCAGCTGCTTGCACACATTCTCCCATTCCTTCGTTCCCTCGCTTCTCCGTCACCTGTGTCTGTCACCAGCTCTTGCTGTCTGAGGTCCTATAAGGAGTCCAGGGAAGTGCAGGAACGTCGTTCCCACATCCGCGTTCCCACTCAGCACATGGGATCTTTCCTGGCTGCTCAGGAAAGGGTGTCAGCGGGCAACACGGGGCTGAGAAAGTTGTGTTCTTGGTCATCAGAGCAAAAGCGTTACAGGCTTACAGAGCAGGAAAAATCTCCTGAAGGCACCAACAAGTCTGCTGTTCCTGTCAAAACGTAAAAGACATAGCCCTTGTAAAAGGAAAACCCTTCCGAAGTTTGTTTTCTTTTTTTAATCTATAATAATAATAATTGCTTACACTTATATAGCGCTTTTCTGGACACTCCACTCACAGCAGTTTACAGGTAATGAGGATTCCCCTCCACCACCACCAATGTGCAGCCCCACCTGGATGATGCGACGGCAGCCATAGTGCGCCAGAACGCTCACCACACATCAGCTATCAGTGGGGAGGAGAGAGAGTAATGAAGCCAGTTCATAGATGGGGACTATTAGGAGGCCATGATTGGTAAGGGCCAATGGGAAATTTGGCCAGGACACCGGGGTTACACCCCTACTCTTTTCGAGAAACACCCTGGGATTTTTAATGACCACAGAGAGTCAGGACCTTGGTTTTACGACTCATCCGAAGGACGGCGCTTTTTTTTTACAGTATAGTGTCCCAGTCACTATACTGGGGCATTAGGACCCACATGGACTGCAGGGTGAGCGCCCCCTGCTGGCCCCACTAACACCTCTTCCAGTAGTAGCCTTAGTTTTTCCCAGGAGGTCTCCCATCCAGGTACTGACCAGGCTCACAGCTGCTGAGCTCCAGTGGGATGCCAGTTGTGAGTTGCAGGGTGATATGGTTGCTGACATATCTGGCTTAAACCAGTCCATTTTTATTTTTGCATTGGAATTTCTCCACAAATTGCTAATAAAAGCTTTGCGGAAATTGAAGTAGTAAAAGAGTTAAAGGGGTAGGAAGGTTTCTGAGGTGGATTTGAATGACTGGACCAATGGGTTTTGTTTTAACTGAAGCTCCAGTAAATAACATGGTTTACTGCCACGGACGTAATATCATAATGATGAATATAGTAAGATAACAGGCTCTGCCCTTGTTTTATGCATGGGTCTGAATATCTGACTGTGCTTTTTAAATTAATTCAAAGGAGCTGTGACTTGTTTGGCTGAGGACAATAGCAATTTTAATTTTTCCCTGGAAAGTTTCATGGTGGCAGTGCCCTCTGTTGACTTTTGTGTTTGTTAATTCTAAAGATTCTCGGGAGTTTGTTATAAACCTGGAAATTGAAATCTGTGTTTGGAAACAAGACCTCCATTAAATCGCCATCATGCGGCTCTGCAAGTACCTAGTTGATTCCCAAACTGTTCTCGGTTCAAGTTGCTCCCTTCTCCTCTCTCCGTGTCTTTCAGAGCGCCGGGGACTGCGCGAGAAATGGAACGCCGGGCACCAGAGCCCCCGCTGCGTCCATGGATGCACTCTCCCCGTTCTTCAGGAAGAAAGCGCACATCCTGGAGGTGCTGCGAAAACTGGAAGAGACGGACCCCCTGAAGTTCCATCCCTCAGCAGGGCTGTCTTCCTACCGAGACATTGGGCAGGCGCTTCTGCCCACGGACCCAATCAGACCAGGGGAACATGCCGTCCAGCGGAAGGCCTCGGATATGGAGCGGCATTTGAGTGGGGATTCGGATATCCATGACTACATGAACGGTGAAGGGGCGCTTCCAGAGGACAACGGGCTGGACTATGAGAGCTGTCAATCTTGCTTGGTGTTCTCCCAGAAAAGTCTGGATAGCCTGTTTAGATGGAAGCAGGACAATGCCATGGGCCCAACTAAAAGGGAAAACACCCGTGGCCTTGATCACAAAGATGCACCGGTTTCCATACAGACAAAGGAATCAATGATGATCCTGCCGCCAGGCAACGCAAACGAGTGTTGCAGCCCAGCAGAAAAGACATCCTCGGATTTCCCTTCTGAACCCAGGAATGAGAAACCGAATGACCTTGCACAGCTCTTGGCTAGCAAATCTTATTTCTGCTCACTCATTAAAGACACTGATCAGAATGGCTTAAACAAACAACAGGAGGATTCTTTGTCACTGGAAGAGCACAACAACGGCCCCTGTGAAGAGAAATGTTGTGGCAAGCTCTCTGGTGCTAATCTGCCTTTGCCGTGCCAATCCCCACCCAGGGAAAATGATGATCTTCCTTCAAAACAAAATTTGAAGCACATAAAAACTGTAGCCTTCCCTAGCTTAAATGCAGGAGAGGTAATTAACACAGAAGAGCATTACCTCAAACTGGAGGCCTACAGCTCAACCGAAGCCACAAACGTGAAAAACAGTTTGTACAACACTACCTCAAACATGACTGTACCTGGGGTCCCAGAAAGCTCTCAGATTGCTTACTGCCAGCAGGAATCAAGGGAACAGATGTGTAACGGGTTGTACTTTTCCGAGTCCTGCTTTTCTAAGGAAGTTGATTCCTATTTACCGGCAAGTACACCTGAGAAAAACGATCTCAACTTCCTACAGCAGGTGACTCAGGAGAAAGGCAAACTTGCACTTAGTCCCACTTCCCCTTCCTGCATGACAGACACCAAGCCCTCCCCCATTTCCTCCCCTTCTCGGCTGCTTAAGTTTCTCAAAATACCCTCCATTGGAGAGCGGGCCCAAGCCTCCAACCCCCTACGTCTCAGCCCTCAGCTCACTCGCAGCTCCAAGATTCCCTGCCGGAACAACAACTATGAAGTGTACCACTCCCCTGCCACAGCTCGCAGAGCTGCCACGGCTGAGAGAGACAAACAACCAGCCCCCTCCAAGAACGATTCTTACCCCTCGACCCACTCTGCACCTACTTCACCCCCCAAACCGGAGGAAGTGTTACCCTTGCAGAAGGATCCCAGTTATAGCAGCCACTCGGCTCCTAAAGCCAGCCGGAACGCCAAGTTGGCACCTTCAGGGCAGCAACAGAGAAGCTTCCAGAAGGTGCCCCACTATGAGAACCTCTCAGACCTTCCCACAGCTTGCCAGGCTGACGGATCAACACAGGTTCTTGAAAGGGTGAACCAGTCCAGCTTCCCCTCCTGCTCCCCCGAAGGTCACTCAGAAAAACAAGTAAACTCTCTTGAGGAAAAACGGATCAGTCCAGACCACAAAGAGCACCACCTCCCCTGTGGGAGCAGCTCATCATCGACCAACCCATCTTGTGACCCTGCTGCCCCAGACCAAGACCTGTATGTGGAGAATTCTGTCTGGTACAAAATCCATGATCACCACAGCTTGCCCAATTCCTCTGCCGTCCACAAATCTCAAAACAGCTGCCTCTACTCCAGTATGAAGGACAAACATGTTCCAGAAGCAGCCTTGCAAGCCTCTGATTCAATCCAGTCATTCAATCTTCCAGTCACGGCTAAAAAGGGAGAGCCTCCCTCCATTCCCAAGAAGCCAGTGAGTGGGAAATCTCCGAGTGAATCCAGCCACCTTCCTTTTAAAGAACGCTTGGCAGCACTGGGCAAGCTGAAGAACACAGAAGACTCGCATACCACTGGGCCTTTCGTGGGGTCCCCCTTAGATAAGAAGGATGGGCAGTGCAATGGGAGGGTTGTCTCCTCCAGCAATAATGAGAGAAGCAAAACAGCTGAAAGGCAATGTGATCGCAATGGAGCAGACCACAGACATTCCAAATATACAGATTCACTTGATGGGAAGCCTTATCCCAAAGCCAACCTCAATAGTTATGGCCTGAAGGCTCCAGGCCCTTATGAACCAGGGGTGAAATCCTTACCTCCCAGCACATCGACTCCCAAAGCAGATCTGGAGACTTTCTCTTCTAGAATCTATGTAGCAAGGGCAGATGTTCCAAAGATCAGAGCGGCTCTGCCATCCTCAAACCCTGATCCGCCTCAAGTCTTGCGCAACTTCATGAAGTGTGCAAATGCTCAGAATCCTTCTCAGAATGGCAAGACTGCCCCCAGCCCCCAGGGGAGTCCCACCAAGGTCCCATTTAAATCACCTACCAAACCTAACCAAGGGTCTTCCTCCAGCTCCAGAGGCTCCAAACCAACTCAGGATGAGCGTGTCACCTCCCAGAAGCACTCGCCCAGGGCAGATGACAAGAGCAAGCTGCTCGCAAACAAGAAGAAAAACTCAGCTTATTCCGACAGCCTCCCGCCACCTCCTCCCAGGCCCGATGCTGTTGGAGACAAGAGACCTCTTGTGCCTGGTCCCCAGTCTGCCATTGAGCAGAAAGTGATGAAGGGCATTGAGGAGAATATGCTGAAGCTACAGGTGCAGGATCGAGGCCAGGTAGTTGAAGTCAAGCAGAAAACCTCTAATGGCATTGCCAGCTGGTTTGGTCTGAAAAAGAGCAAACTGCCAGCTCTCAGTCGCAAGGCTGATGTGGCCAAGCTCAAGGAAGACAAGAAGGAATGGAAGCTCAACATGCCTTCTGCAGGGAAAGACCCCAAAGTGGCCACCAAGAAGAAGCTGGAGGTAGAGAGCTTGAATATTTCCAAACTGATGGAGAAGGCCGAGGACCTGCGGAAAGCCCTGGAGGAGGAACGGGCTTATGTCAATGGCGTGGCCTTGGACAGGGCCAGCCGGGGCCACTCCTGTGAGGTGGTTATGGATCAGAACCAGAGCCAGCTTTCCGTGGTCTACAGAGAGGTGACGTCTGACACTTTCATGCAGCAACTGCTGAACAGGTGAGGAACAAGGGCGATGTGATGTACCCCGTCTTGATTCTAAATCTTAAGGAAGCTGTTCTCCCCAGAATATCACCAACTTAAAAAATTGTTTGCCAGTGCACGGGTTGAATTGTTTACTTTAGGGACTTTGGAAAGGCACCTTTCACTTGAAAACGTTTTTTGTGATGATACTTTAGAAGCGTTTAATAAAGGCAAACTCCTGAAGTGCAAAAATATCAAATATAAAAATTACCGTTGTGGAGTTAGGAAACCAATAATTGTCCCATGAAGCACATGGAATAAGAATATTGACTTGTAGAAAATTCTAACGTTTCTGGGTGCTGATTTTCTTGGATTCGTCCAGAGAAGGTTGGATCAATACGTTTTTTGCAGTGGGGTGAGTATTGTGGGTAAAGCTTAGTTTTTACTTTATTGATGTTTCCTTTTAGTGTTGGACAGCTGGTCAGAGCACTGAGCTGTACGGATACTTTTATGTTTCACAAGAAGAGCAAACTGTCTTTTTTTAACAGATTTTTATCAAAATATTGAAGTGAAACAGGTTTTTCACAGTTGTCTATGTATTTCTGAGCTGGTAGTTTTCCCAAGGCAACATCAAACAAGGCTGAAAGGAGGACAAACACATCAGTTAAAATCCCTCTTTTTCTTGAGGTCTTGTTTCTAGGCACCTCAGACCTGTCTGGAGTGTAAATTAAAGTCATTTTCAGTTATTCTCCCCTTTTCCCTTTTGTATCAATAACAAAAGCTAAGAGCTTTTGTTTTGTGTGTTTCAGTGTGAAAACAGGTTTATGCTCCTGAAATATATGCGAAAAGGAAAAACAACACCTTCTCCTGATCTCATCCAATATCAGAAGGCCAGGCTGAGCCTGGACAGCACTGGGAGGGCAGGTCTCTGAGGATGTGGTGTCGGTGGACCAGTAGGTGGCACTCTTGTAGTGTGGTGACCCAAACTGAACATGAATCAGATGAGGTTGAACTGGTGGTACAAGCGGATCATTAGAAAAGTGTGACTGAAGGCTGTACGAAGGATGTTACGGCATTCGATCAGGTTCAACACTGGAGAGAGAGTTGCATCCAGGGATTTAGCTGAAGTCCTCAGGCTTTGTTTTCTCACCCAGGGTGGACGAGAGGGACTCCAGCGGCAATGGCCTGGCACACCGACGCCTGTCCTTTGACTCCAAGAAATCTCGGCCCATCTTCAGCTCTCAGAGGAACGGCATCATCAGCCATGCCAAGAGCCGGCAGGAGGTCGCCAAGGTGAAAGAGCTTTCCTGCACCTCACACTTTCTCTATTCACGCAATACTAAACGTGATACACGATCACATAAAGCAAAAGCTGGTGAGAATTGCTTAAAACCTGTAAACTGGAAGTTCTAGCATTCATTAAACATGATGCTAGATCGTGGTTGTGATTTGGCAATCTGAAAAAAATGGACTTACTTTGGATCAAGGCAGCAGAGAGATAATAGCCATAATTTTTTGGTTCCCTGTTGCGTTACACCGGAGACCCCGGAACCGCGACGATCACATGTCCAGGAGAATATCTAAATGCCTCATTTGTGTGCTTTACAGTATATGATTTCAACAATTCTTACTCTTTGGTTATGTAGGCTACGGATCTAGTCTGCAAAGGTGACATAACATCGGACGAGAGCCTGACTGAGTCAGTCAACTCCCAGCACTTTGCAGGTGAGAGGTTACAGAGCTCTGAGCTGCACAAATTCATTTTCAGGGGGTCTGGGACTCTCGGTCTCTCAGCATTGCCAGGATGTAGGTAGGAGGATGAATGGCTAAAATGGTTGCCTGGTACAGAGCATGCATCCCAGAATAAAGGCTTAGTACTCTTTTTTATTTAACAACCATGTCTTAAAATGATGCTCCAAAGGAATTGCATCAACCAGAAATAATTAAGACAACTACCATTAGTTTCTTTTAATGATAATTTAGCCGACACTCGGATTTTATCACTGGCTGTAAAGGAATTCCTGAGTTGGGAGGGGAGAGCACCACCAAGGGGTGTATTAACAGTAGCAATCTCATTAGACTTCGATGTCAGGGCATGCCGAGTGTCCCAGAGCTTTCCCACTGCTGCTGTGGATGTAGGCCCAGTGGTTGGCTGTGATATCACCGTGTTAAGGCTGCTCATTCTCCTTCTCCTGTCCTCAGGTTCCGGGTCCTCCACCAGAACCCTGGACAGTGGGATTGGAACGTTCCCTCTCCCCGACTACGCCGGCTGTGTGGCGGGGAAACTTGTCCCCAAGGTGAAGCCCCGCGGAGATCAGGAGTTCTCTGCGCCATTGGGAAAAGCGGGACCGGTAACGAAGGTCCCACGTAAAGCCCGGACACTGGAGAGGGAGCTGTCGTCCCTGGAGGAGGCCTTCCCCAGAGACAAAGATCTGAGCCCCGGGCTGTACAGCGCCGCCCTGGAGGGCAAGGGCTCCAGCACACACCTCTCCACTGCCATCCAAGAAGGTACCCGTTCTCTTACTTTTCTTTCCCAGTCCTGGGGAAATACAGGGTCTTAGGTTTTTGTTGTTAGCTAAGCACTTGCTCCTGAACGAGCAACTGAACGAGCTGACTTGGTCTAAAATATTGTGGTTTTCACATCTTAAGGCAACATCGTATATTCTATGCTGCATCACTTTGTTTCAGATGGTCCTCCAAGTGAGTGCACTTAGACTTGTTACTCTGCTTTATGGAGCTTTTGTTTTATTACCTGCAGAATAACCGCAGACATCTGTGGTTCTGAGTAACTGAGATATTTGTACAGCTGATTAGCAGTTTGTGTGAGTGAAAAGGTACTCAATAACAAGGTGCAGCACTTTCACTCTCGTTTAGGCACCTTTCTCTACGGATGTTTGCACAGATTGGGTGAGTTACTCAATTAGAGTCTGAGAGGGAAAATAAATCCCAAGAATTGTTATTTTGTTCCACTGCAGATGTAGATGCTTATGGAGCTCACGTTCAGTCCCCGCCTTCCAAGAACTGGACTTTCCCCAATTTGAAGGCTTCCAGTGGTCCCACTGAGGTGTACTTGGGGATGAGGAGTGACGTAGAGCCAGCCAGCCACGGGACCCCCTTCAGAAGGGTGAGGACCTCTGTTCTCTGCTCAGAGCCTGTACTAAGTAGATGCCATCCGAATCCAATGTAGGACACAAAGACTACCAAGAAGACATACTTAGAAGGAGCAGTGCAGTAAATTATTATTCATTAAGATACAGAAGGTGTATAGTAGGTCTTTGCTCTGGGATCACCTTATTGTCCATATATTCTGAACATTTTTTTTTTCTGCGTGCTAAAAGGTCAGATTTTCAGAAACTGCTGCATTTTGAGCAATGCTACCAAGTCATGAATGCACTTCACCGGCAGCAAACAAAATTGCTGAGCTTTTACTGCCGAATTGTTTGGCTGTATACAGAATGGTACAGTGCCCAAGAGGCAGTCTTTAAATCCAGAAGGTAAGATGTGTCCTAATGAAGCAGGTAGATGAGTCATAAATCTAGAAACGTAAATGAACTGAGCATAATAACAGCCTGTATTGTGCACAGCTGAGAAGTAAACTTTCCTGTAATGAATGAATGAGTGATCTTGTGCTGGAAGGTGTATGCTTTCCCTTAATGACCTAAAGAATAAAATACCATCTGGTCTCACTAAGTCGCAGAAGAATTCAGAAGCTGCAAGGTGGAGGTTTGAGGGTGAGGAATGAAACCAGAAGAGATTTAAGTACCACAGTACAGGAATTGCCATCCATTCTTGGATATTATAACTGTGCTTAAGGACCTGGAAAGACAATTTATTGGTTCTTACCAGGAAATGTACCATGAACACTGTCTGGGATAGAGACATCCTGGAGCTAGGAGTGTTTGTCTAAATCTCTCCAGACAGATTCATCCTCTGAGGCCATGTGACATGAGTAAGACAGAACACATGCTGCTTACACAACAAAAGAATCCATCTAGCCGGACTTTGTGATTATAGCTATAGCTAGTGATACTCTCTAAATGCTAAACCATTAGTTCACTCGGTCCACTGAAAAGGCTTTTCTTGGCTTTGTGCTTATTGAAAAATAGATTTTACCTCTTTCATTTTGTAACCCAAAAATTACTTTTCTAATTTTAATCTGGCTGTGCTTGCCTCTACAGCCTGTGCACCATACAAGGAGAATAAGAAAATATTCATGCCATCTGTGAGAATCCTTCATCCTGTAACACTGCAAGCTCAGTGCACAGTGGTTTAGCTACTAAAGTGCTAGGTCACACCTTCTCTGCACTTGAGTCCACCCAACTATAGCAGGGCTCAGTTGATTGGGCACTGCCACCTAGGAAATCACAGTCACAATCAGAATAGGATATAGCCCAGATTTAACCATCGACAGGGTCACGCTGCGGCCAAGCCTAGGCTGGAGTCGGTGTCGGGGCTCTGGATACGAGTGGAGAGCTGTGGATTCAGATCCCGAAAGGGATGCTACTGTTGAGAACGGCCATGCCTTCCAGGTTGCTCCAGTAAATACCCTGCTGTATAAATGGGTCTCTAGGATGTCCCTGTGAATATTTCTTAAAGGACTTCTCTGGTGCAATAAAGTGTCAAAAAACAACCTGCAAGCACCTTCACCAGTTGAATCATTCAGGAGCCCACAGAACTGGTTTTAAAATTCTTCTCTGGGCTTCCCAAGGTCTCCATGAATACCTTCCAGGAGCTTTGGTCTGCCGAAACTGGTCTGAATTTTATTCTCCCGAATTCTGTGATGCTGTGAATCTGTGTGGAAGTAAAAAGGTCAGGATGCCCATTTACTATGGTATGAGAAACAAGCATCCCTGTGTACTGACTGCCTTTGCAGCCTGCACTTGTGTTGCTCTCTGCCTTATCTATCCTGTTGTAAGAGAGAGCTTGAAAATCTGCTTTACAGACTCAAAAATGTCTGATCCTGTTCCGACTGTGGAATCCAATCCTGAAGGTTCCAGCAGACAAAGGTTTTAACTTTTGTTTTGGATCTGACAAGGCAGGGGTCGTAGAAAGTTTTAGAAGTAGGATGATGCAGAAGTCCTGTTCCCTACATATCGGTAATCTGCTTTTCTCTGCCTTCCACTCTCTTCTTTAACAGAGTGTGAAGCCATGTGCTGCGGCCCCCTCCCGAGACAGTGACCCCGCCAGCCTGGCTTTGCCCCCTCCCCTGGGGCGCCGGGCAAAGAGCCGCACCCTCCCGGGCCCCGAGATGGGCAAGGAGGGGGGGCTGGAGCTGGTCAAGGAGAAGGCCGACGACGTTCTGTCCCCTGGGCGGCCCCCCGCCCTGGAGACCCCCGAGTCCCTCAGCGACTCGCTCTATGACAGTTTGTCCTCCTGTGGTAGTCAGGGCTGAGAGCGCTGCAGACAAACACCGAGACTGACCCAGGCAGGCAGGTGTGCCAGGACACTGCCGCCACAGTCCTGTCTCCGGGTTTAACTGAGGATCAGGCTGACAGACAAGCTCGACAGGCTTCAGACCACAGCAGAATTACAGTCCAGATCGACAGGCATGCCATTACTCAAAGCAGTATCTGATTCAGTGAATTGACTTGAATTCAGCAGAATGCAGTATTCACCATTTCTAGGTTTCCTACAGGGAAGATCTAGACACACCTGTGACTGGCAGACTGACAGGCCTGACACAGCCATTGGCAGACAGACTTTTCTGACCTCTGGGAAGATTGTTCCCACAAACGTTTCGGTCACATTAAATTGAACATCCAAAGCCGGGATTTTTGTATAGACCTTGCACTGGCACAAACAAGGCCGGCCGGTGTTTCATTGTCCAGCTGTGACCAAAAGTAAGAGGTTGCTGAGGCATTACAAAACATTTGTCCACTGCTGCAGCGTGGGAGGTCAGGCAATGACATCCTGTAATGAGCTTGTTCTCCTGCAGACAGTCAAATACACCTCCACCACTCTGGAAAACAGACTGTCCCTCAGGATTTCCAGACAGACACTTGCTCACAAGAATCCCCTGGATATTTCAGACGTGGTCACAGTCGCTCTGCCCTTTGTAAATTTCTGAAAGGAGGCAGACGATTCCCAGACACACAAACCCATTTCCTTTCGACACAAATCTGTCGTCTATTTTTACATGCAGATCTGACCACGTGACTTGGACCAGGACATGGCGACTCATCGAGCATTAGCCCTCCTGAACATGCAAAGGACTCTGATGCAGTTACTGCCAAGCAATTATTTTCTGAGCTTCTGTTTTTCTTTTTTTTTATACCAGATGATATTTAAAATGACGAATAGGCTTCCAATTATTTAAAGAGGAAAAGAAAATCTGGAATTTTTAAATGTGAATGTTATTGTTCTCTGTTCCCGTTCGTTGTTGAATTATTTTATTTTTAACTTATGAGGAGTTTAAATTTGGTTTTGCTTTGCTCTCTGTGTGAAGAGAGCTGTGTCTCCTGTCCTATGAAATAAAAGAGTTCTGCCCAGAGTCTCTGTGTTCACCTGATGAAGGAAAGGGCAAATGTGACCAGCAGCTAGAGAGACCATCTCAGAGTAGAATCAAGAAATACAAGAGTTATACATCACTTCTGTTTACTTGAGTCCTAAGCATCTGGTTTCATTCTGGCTATGATATCATGCACAGTGTGTTGGGTAATGCATCCTTCTTAAAAAAACATATTATACTGAGATTATAATTGCTCTGTGCAATGCTAAATCACCCTTGTAATAACTGAATTCTACAAATCACAAGAATCACATTTATTTATTTCTTTACATAAAATCCCACAACAACATATCTACAATAACATTCTGGCCTCTGGAAGTTCAGAGAAAGAGGTTTCCTGCTTCCCTAGGAGATAAAAATGGGAACATGCAAAAAGACATCCAATTGTAGCATATATCATCAAGGTTAAGATCTGAGAGCTCTCCGGTGTCTTTAGGGAATCGGAGGTCACATGATAGATACAAAAATTCTACAAAACCTGATCTACCACTTTCCACTCTAGTGTCCATTATTTGTTTATCACAGTAAACTTTATTTCCACCATTCTTACAAATAATTTACATTCTTACAGCTGTAACATAAAATCTCTACAAATTTAAAAAGGTCATAAATAGAGATTGCCCGTTATCAGTCAATTCATTTTGCAAGTGGTCGTTAAGGCTGGATTCGCGCAACAAAGTCCCTCCAGACACCAAGGGACAGGTTTTCCTGTTTCCTCTTCAGCCCTTGCACAGGCCCCACAGTCCTCTCCAGTCTGTCCATTATAAGAACCAGCAGCTAAATCACCCTGCGGCTCACAATCTGGCAGCCCACTGAAGCTCAGCTGTGAGCCTGGTCAGTACCTGGATGGGAGACCTCCTGGGAAAGCAAAGGCTGCTGCTGGAAGAGGTGTTAGTGGAACCAGAAGGGGGAACTCACCCTGCTCAGTGGGTATTAAATACCCCAGTATAGTGCCGGGGACGCTGTACTGTAAAAAGGTGCCGACCTTTGGATGAGAAATAAAACTAAGGACCTTAAAAATCCCAGGGCAAGAAGAGAAGAGGTGTTAACACAGCGTCCTGGCCTTTGTCAATCATGGCCTCCTAATAATCCCCATGTATGAACTGGCTTCATCACTCTGCTCTCCTCCCCACTGAGAGCTGGTGTGTGGTGAGCTGCCGGCACATCATCCAGGTGGGGCTGCACACTGGTGTTGGTGGAGGGGAATCCCAATTACCTGTAAAGCGCTTTGAGTGGAGTGTCCAGAAAAGCGCTATATAACTGTCAGCAAGTATTATTAAATGGAAATCTACTGGTCTAGTGACAGCCCTGCCAGGAGGAAGATGCATGTGTCTTACCACCACGGAGTATGAGGCAACTGGTTTGGGTGGGAAGTGAAAATACAAAACTAACAGACGGAGAGTGATGGTGCAGATTTGTTCGAGCGCCGCCGCCGCTGCTGCTTGGCCACACATCGGCAGGTCTTGCCAGGTGCCATGACAGTGAAAGACATTGACCCTCTCATCCATGCTACCTCTCGCACTGTGTTTGATAAATGGACACCTGTGGTACAGGGGCTGTAGCATAAACATCTAGTTAGTTTACATTTTAAACCTAAAAAACAGACTGTGCTACCTTTTCCTTTGTGGTTGTAACAGAAATCAGGGTGGTACACGTCCTTGCCCTGCACCCCAGCACAATACCAGTAACCGAGATGCCCTACGGGTTTTGTAAAATAAATCTCAAATATCAGCCACAGATGAGACCTGGAGTTTGCTCCAGGCTGCAAATAACTGGGACAGCACAGCCTGTGCACATGACAGGTTTAATGTCCTTCTCTCTCTAAATACACTGAGTGTGGGCCTTCAGTAGTAGATGCTTCACTGGGATTGATACACCCACAGGTGTAGAGGTGTCCCAATGATTGTTATTATGGTTCATCTCAAAAGAATAGGAAAATCTATACTTTTGAAATTGTGAAAATTTCCCATAAAAAATGGGATGCACAAAGTGTCAGAGAAACAGTCTTGTTGAAAAACACGTTCTTATACTGTATATATACTGAGCATCAAAAGCAGCTATTCACTTAAAACTGCAACACAAATGCAAATCTATTAGCAAAAAATGTCATTTTTGCAAAAGCAGTGACTTTTAATTGAACAGATGTTCCATTCTTCTCCTTTATCAAAGACTCATCTCTGGCAAGCCCTTGCTTCTGTCCATCACATGTTTAATGGAGCTCAGGTCTGGCCAGCAGGGAATTCACAACATAGCGCTCACTTTTTTACCCTGAAGAAAACCAGTGTTAGACAAGCAGACAGGATGTCTGTTCTTCTGCTGGAGATGTTGTCAGGTCAGAATGATATACAAAGATCCGGACATCTGTGTTACACTTACTGATGTCCATCAGGGTGGTTTACACAAAACCATAACACAATTGCTAAAGAGGATTTTTCCTTTTGGCTTTCACCTGATCTGACATTTAACATGTTAAATCACCTTTTTGCCTTTGCCCAATCGGTTCTCAGAACAACCATGTGATTTTATGCTTCTGCAATAGACAAAGTAGCTGAGGTGCATCAAGGTAAGTCATGAACAATCAATTCATCCAAATGTTGCCAAAAATCTTTAGTGAGTATACAAAATCTGTTTATTTAATGTTTCTAAAAGTAAGCATGCCTAGAGTAAAAATGTTCCTTCAATACGCAGTATGTACATATTTAGAATCCCTTTAGATGGGACCTGCATAAAGTCAAAAATATATTAAAGGCATTGTAACGCACACTGAATCTCTCTAAATACTCTCTTTTAATATGTCCCAGTTATATGTGGCCTAAACCACAGTCAAATAGTTTCATTGGTTATTAATCAATAATTTTTAAAGACTAACAATGGATAGAAAATCCACTGCTCACTGCAGTTTGGAACTGACAGATCTGGTCCTGGAGATCTCTGAATTACGTATGAATTACTGAATTACTGGCTAGCTTACAATAAGCAGTCAAAAATATCTTGTTCTACAGTATAAGACTCTCTCTCCAGGATCAAAACATGTTGGAAGTTTGTCCTATAGAAATACCCCTTGCAAATTCCCTCTGGAAGCCCTGGAAAAGAGGCTATTCAAGATAGGAACTGATGATGCAGCACTGGTTTTCTCTTGCCATCTGTTACGGTACAGCTGCGGTAAAAATGGTGAATCTCAGAGTGCACACACTTTCTTAACTCTGCTGTGTCTGGAACTTCAGAATAGGACGGTTGCTATTCAGGCATCACTTGTTTCCTCAGATTTTAGTTAAGAAAATAAATCTGTTGTGAACTTCATGTTGGTCTTTCCCTGGGTCTTTTGTGTAAAACCAAAATCAATTAAATATTTTTGTACAGTGTATAGTATTTTAAGGTGCTACATAAATTGCACTTCCAAAACATCACACAGAACCCATAAAAGAATGGTGAATTTTAATAATGCTTTGAAATGGCTAAAGAAGAAACAGTAATATATGTCTAAAATTAAATGATAAAAAACTAAATTCATTCTCTCAAAGCTGTCAAGTCTGTCTGCTTCTTGGCAAATCCACTGTAACGAAATATTCAGCAATCAATAGAGACTCCACAGTCACTACAATACAATGGAGGATCAGAGTTTGAAATAATTAATGTTCAACAAGTATTTTAAGCATTAAAATTTCCCTAAAAGGTCTCATTAAGGGAACATTTTAATATCGGATATAGACATACTATAGTTCATTACATCGTACCAGTGTGTGTCACAGAGCCAGAGGAAAAGGACTTTCAAAAACAGTTCTACTTCCAAAGGTGTTGTAAATAGTACTGTGCCAAACACTGTTCCGTTACATATTTTTGACTGACATTTCAGTTCAAAAGATGTGTTAAACTTTCATAATGAGGTATTGGTGTGTCTAGTGGTGTGACCTAGTCTCGAACCCACAACACTGAACATTTAAAAGCTTTAGTCCTCCTGCTTGTGGCCATCATCATACTAAAACTGCCCAAACTGTAAAGATTATACTCCCTTAACCAGGCCTCATATATCATGTCCTGGAGCCCTGCAGTTAGTCTGATTGCAACTTTGTAGATCTCCTGTGAGGCTTCTTTTCTGTAATCAGTGGATACAAATTGCATTCACAACACCCCATCCTTAGAGCTCATATGAAACTGTCCTAAACCCTTCCATTTTGACAGGACAGTGAAGCCAATTTTCAGACATCAGATCTACAAACTTCCTCCAGGGAAAAAGCCACTTATATAGTATACAACACCCATTAATGCATTAGGCATTATGTATCCTATACTGTATATTCTTTATTGAGTTTCCAAGGTTTTCTTTTACAATTCCTCCCTATGAGTGAGTGTTTTTAAAGTTTAATAATTAACATCTTAAAATTCCTCAGCTACTCTGGACACACCCTGACTGTATCTGAACCACGATGGCCATCGAGTCCAGATCAGGCTGCTTGAATTATCTCTATGCACGGAGAGAGAACACACTTTCACCTCCGTGACCTGTTTCCATTTTCAAGAGGACAACTGAAGAGCTTCCTTTCGGAGAGAATTAAAGTGTCTGTCAACTCTTCTGAAGCCAGCTCAGTTTTTTTAGCCGAGGGATGGTCAAAGAAGAAATTTCTAATTAGAATTTAAATTGGAACTACCCAGCCCTCCCTTGTTGAAGACACGTCATTGCATTCAAAGCAGACAGACCTGAAACACCCAAAAACAGGCAAAAATCATCTTAAGTCAACATTATACCTAAAATGACAAGCATTCATCCATAAATGTCTCGTCTTACTGTCAGTCAGCATCCTGCTCTTCCAAGTTGCTGTCGTCCCCATAACGGGATGATAATTTGAAAGACATACTTCTTTTTGTAACAAATTGAAAAGTCA